TGAAGTCCACACACGTCATGGAGAAATAGGGATGTGTCTTTATTCTTGTCTCGCGAGTACGTAATGTCGGGCTCCGTTGAAGAAGCTATCAGCAACTTCGTGATCAGATGGAATCGGTAGCGTGTTGAGGTATGCTTACGCCGCGGATAAGACTCTTTGTATCTTGATCAAAGGCCTTAACTTTTGGGAACTGCAATTCGTCCTGAAGGACACGAAGATACATATCTGAGTGGTTGTCTGCCCAAAATGGAGTCTGATACCGAGGAATCAATCAATGCCGTTCCATCGCTAACCGGGGTGGAACAGCGGCTCACCACACCACTAAGCATTTCGTAGAGCATGGTTCCAAATGCCCACCAGTCAACTTCGTAACTGTATTGCAGACCCTGGATAACCTCCGGAGCAAGATACTCTGGAGTGCCGCAGAAGGTGTCAGTGAAATCCTTGTTCGACAAATCCTCATTTCGCCAGCTGTTTGGACTTTGGTCAGGCGTCATCCATTTGGGCAAGACGGCTCCATCCATGGCTGTCGAGGATCCCGATAGGTTGAGATATGGCGAAGGGAATTGCTTCGACAGACCGAAGTCAGTGAGGACGATGTGTCCATCGAAACCGATGAGAACATTTTTTGGTTTCAAGTTGCGATACACGACACCGGCGGCGTGCAAACCCTCCACCCCTTCCACCTGGTGTGATCATAACATTAGAAACAGTAATGGAAGGGGGCGCACCGAACTCACAATCTCGGCGGCATAGAAGCGAGCCCGATCGCGGCCCAGTCGACCCCAGCGAGCAAGCTGAGTGCCCAAATCTCCACCTGGGTGGAAATCCTGGTGAGTCGGTGAGAAATTAGCACCATTTGGAACAGTCAGGGGAGTAGGTCATATGTACCATGACGAGGAAAAGATTTTCCTTGTCGTGGAAACTCCACCATAGTTTGACGACGAATGGATTCTGGCTTTCATCAGCCATCCGTTTCAATACAGCCTGTTCGGTCAGTGTGTGTCCAAGCTCTTGATGAGCAAGTACATCTCGTTTTTTGATAGCTTTCAGCGCATACAAGGAACCAGATGCCTTATGTTTGACTAGAAGGACCTGGAGCGCCTGTTTAGAAAGGGAATTTTCCCAGAGTGGTGTCATGAACTCATACCTTCCCTGCGGAAGTTATTCCAAGCATGCGCATCATCTCGAAATCGTTGACCGTGATTTTCCTGGAGGCGTGCTTGTGCGGCTTGGTAAGTGTAACGATGCCAGTGTCGGTGGAATGTTCTACATCGGTAACGAAAGCAGACTCAGCCTCAATGTCCTGCCCATTCACCTGCTTTGGCTGAGAAGGTTTACGACTAGAATTTGTGCCATCTCGCACGGCACCGCTACTACTGGCCGAAGCAGAGAGCGGCTCCACCGAAGCAGAGCGAATATATCCCGAGGGCTGGGAAGGGTGTGCCTCTTGCGAAGGATGGGAAGCGAGGGTTCGGGAAGCTGGAGTCGGTGATGATTCAGCCTCGGCGGGAACAGAATCCATTGGGGGCTCCAGAGTAGGAGGGGAAACCAAAGTGACATCGACACCAATGGTACCAGGCTGTCTAGTTGTTTCTCCTGCCTGCACCGTCTCTAGGGATTCGGCCGAGACATCTTCCAGCAACAGGCCGGGCAACGGCTCCGGCCCAAGGACACCATCTTGAGCTTCAGGGGAAATGGCGACGGACGCTGCTTCTTCGGTGTTGAAAAGTTCGGGCGTCATCTTCGGCAACGGCTGAACCTGTTTCTGTTTTTCACCAGAGATCCCATTTTGAAAGTCAGGAGAAACGGAAACAGGAGCCACTTGCCCATCAGCTTTAATGGCCGCCTTCTTGAATGACGTTGCGAGTTTCGGATCCGTACGATCTCCACTCAGTGCAGAGAACGAAGCCACGGAGCCGTCGGTGAACCCCGCTGGCGGCAGCAGCTCCGTTTTGAGGTTAGGTATCTCGGAGCTTGAAGATGAGTCTAGCTCAGCACAGGTATCCACGAGCGATCGAAAGACTTCCCCCATCATCGGTCGCGCATCAGGAGAAACTGCACAGCATGTAGACAGTATTTTCTCCACTGGGGAAGATTGCTTCCAGTCCCAAGGCGATTGACCGGATTTTAACGCATCAAATAGTTCAGCCTCCTTTTTAAGCGAAGCGAAGGGGCTTTCATCAAAAAGTATCTGCTTAAGTTTCAGTAAAGTGCACGGAAGTCATGCTCGCGAACTATCACGGCTCACTATGGTACAAGTGCAGGCGAAGGAGTAAACATCACTGAATACCGTCTTGATATCACTATCAAAGACTTCTGGGGCGCAATAGCGCGAGGTAAACGCAGGTCCCGATGATGTATACCCTGTCGTCAATCCGTCCGCGATCCAAGATAGCCCGAAGTCACACAACTTGGCGCGCTCCGCCTCGCTGATTAATATGTTGAGCTATATGTTGTTAATCACTTGTAAATCAGCTTCCTAGACAATTCACGTTGACCCACAGGTTTGAGATCACCGTGGATTACAACAGGGTCGTGGTCATGAAGGTAGGTCAGACCACGAGCGACATCAAGAAGCTATTCCATGGTGTGCATCCTTTCAGTTCAAAAGGCCAGTGTTGTCACTAATACCACTCACCAGGGGCAACCGATCGCAGGATGGTTTACGACGCAGGTATTGAACAAGGTTGCCGTTTGAACACCATTCGGACACCAACGCTGCTTCAAGTACTGCACCGCGAACCTCAATCGCCAAACCGATAAATTTCACGATATTTCCATGGTCTAAGTCCTTCCATGCCTTCATCTCTCTCTTCAGGTGCTTGTGCAATACGTGGGTCTTCGACGCTGTCGATCCGGCCGAAACAGTTCCTCACCTTCATGGTTTTCCTTACTTCCTCTATGATAGATGGCATGTCACTGATAGGCGGTTTGAGGACTTTGTAGCAGACCTCCATAGAAGAAGTGAAGTGAAAAGTCGACCTGTCAGTCCAAGAGAACATACATTCGCAGGATCCTGAGAGTCAGATTGAACCCATTTTGCACAGTAGACCTCGGAATAGCCGCCTCGTGCAACCAGGGTCTTGGTACCAAACTGGTGACTAAGATTCTGAACATCTCGGATTTCGGATAAAGCTTCCATCACGGCTGACGAAGCGGGATCCATAGCGCGATTGACTAGGATAGGACAATGACCGCCCCTGGATGTACGGATGCACCAGGATGTGAATTGAGAGGAGGCTCTTTACAAACTGCTACTGCTACTGAACTCAAGGAAAGCGCTTGGTTATTGCTGTAGACAAAGTTGTAACCGAGATCTCCACGGGGAAACTCTGGACACCCCGCATGCCCAAATATGATCACATTGGCCGTGTCGGATTCAAACATGAACACGTTTTCTCCATATGACCCATCCACGGGAAAATGCCAGAGGCAAACTCAAAAGGCAACAATATGCGCGCGCACACCGCTGATATTTTCTGCTTGTGCCTTCGCTCTCGTGGTATGCTGTGGTGCCCCGGGCGCTTGTTCCCCCTAAAGAGAGGCTGGTCACCTGCCTAGGCGCTTGTGCAGATCTGCGTTGGTGAAATCTTATGTAATCAATCGAGGATTTCTCACGTGAATCCCAGTGGTTGTCATCCCCGAGAGAAGAAAGTTGTCTCCTGTCTTAGGCGGAGCTCAATACACTCTCGTCCGATTCGGTGCCATATGAAATCCAACCTCTGCATTTAAACCACATTCCCAACTCGAAGTGCGCATGTTCCTGTCACGGTTGAGCAGATTTGTGCCTCTGGCGTATGTGAGTATAATTCATGGCGTGCTGCTAAATCAAGCATTCCCCTGCATTAGACGGGGATCGAACATCGACATGCTAACCCTAGCTGTCACCATCGCTACATCCACAACAGTACTGCCTGCACTCGCGCTAGTATCGATCATGATTTCAGGATTAAATTGGGTGGAGGATTCACGAGTTCTTCCATGCTAGCCCTCCCTCAGGTTGCTCACAGTCCTCTAACGTCACAACATGGTCCACGCCTGGTCCTGTACAATGGAGATACATCGATAGAAGAGATATCTCATCTCAAGCTCCAGTCTCCGAGGCAAGTACCCGCAGCCCAAGTCAATTTGACGTCATCTTCCACCCGGGCTGGCCACTCTTCTCGCCATCACTTCCAACTCCCACACAACGCGTCGCTCGTCGCATTTAGCTTAGCACCCTCGATCCATGAAGGAGCATCCTAACCCAGAGACAAGCGAGCAAAATTCTCTCGGCCGCCAGTGCAATTCGGTTTGGTTTTGGCGTAAACCGCTCTCATTTCAGGCGGAACTTAGTCGACCTCACGCCAGTTATCTCCTTGCGGAGGACTCGGACAGTTTGCATCTGGCCATTCGGTGTTGATCTGTTGCAGTGGCACCGGCGAGCAATACAGGGGGCACTTTGTCTGGTCTCATGTGGTCTGACGCGCGGCCCCTTCGCATGATAAGGTAAACGTGGAGGTACTCGTGTGGCAGCTTATCACCTCTAAATCATTCTCCACCCCCTTTTTTTACTCGCATTTTGCCTCATTGCTCTATGATTTCACTCGCTGCTTGCACATCCAAAACTCTCCCAGCAGGTGGCTGCCCCCCGGGAGACGTCCAGATTTTTCGCGTTCATTGATTTATCCTGCCGGGGCAGTTGAGGCATGGGACGGACTAGAACGTCGGCTGCGCTCGGTTCATGAGCTACGTGGAAATGGCCATGTGCAACCCTCGGCCTGTTTTGCAGTGATGTCAGCTCCCGCTCCGCTTTCTGAAGTTATGCGGATGCCGACCCAAGTACAGTAGCGCATTTGTGTAAACATATTGGGTCCAGACAAGGTTTATACTACACTTCCTAATCCCGTGAACATAGAGCTGGAGTTTGGCTACACTGGAGGAGTTGTGCGCAAGGTAATTGTAGGATGGGCCCTAATAAATGGAGACAAACGGGAGTAAAGGACATCGACAACATCACGTACGTACAAGTGGAGTCGAGCAGGCACGAGCAAATCAATAAGCGCCACCCGTTTTGCAGCATGAACTCGGTAGTGAAACTACCAGAGTCATTAGTAACGCCCTTTTTGAGACGTCAATCATGGGAATTTGACTCGAGTGCCCGATCAGACCCGACAGCAATTCAAATTTCCGCTCCGAGATTCGTCCGCGCCAATCGAGCCATCCATTTCCCTGCTTTTCGATATGGCTGGAGACAGCGGCCCTCGTAAGTATCCGCGGATCGATCGATGTACTTTCCTTGACAGCCTTTTGGCTTGAGACATGGACACCGATTCGCGTAAGCCACGCCACCCGAATTTGGTGTTTATGGATGAGGAGGGAGGCTTAAGATTCTGGGTTCATCCAAGCCTCCCTGAAAGGCCAGAAATCACTGATCGAATCGAGGTATTTTCCATTGGACAGATCTCTATGATCGGATTTGCCTTATACTCATTCATCCCTCCTGATCGGTCATCCATTCACTTAGCGCCATGGTGGAAAAGTAGTGGATAGCATTCGCCCTGCGTACTTAGCCATCACAGATGACGAGTTCTGCGACAATAAAGAACTACGCGAACATCCTCTCCGCACAATAGGAGTGATGCCGCAATGGGTTCAGGACTCAATTGATGCGGGTAAGATTCAAGACTTTGAGGATTATTTGGTGGTATACCATCGACCCGATACCGAGGAGGGTGCATCGGGAATAGAAAGCTCGCCTGAAAACGAGCTCAGAGCAGGAACCGTCATGGAGGTTGACGGAGGTGACGACAACGGCTCGGATCCCGATCGCTCTTCCAACGAGGACAGTGACTGGGTGGTTCAAGCAGCGAAAGACTTCTTCTCTGACTCGCCCAGAGCCACCTTGGAAAGCTTCTACCGTTGGTGCGCAAATAAAGTAGGTGTGATTTGTGTTTGTGTTGTTTCGCTACTTCCCGAATTTCTGATATTCCTCACTGTCTGTTATAAGCGGAAGCATCGTTCAGAGGATTATTGGAAAAAATTCATTAGTGAGGAGCCACTTCAAAAGACCGTGGATGGGATCCGTAATCCCTACTCCTTGCGTACACCGTCGGAGAGGAAGTCAGATGAACCTCCCACTACGACGAAACAGAGATTCAGCAAATTTCCCAGGGGTTGGTCCGAGAAATTACGGGACGAGATGGTGTCGCACATCGCACTGAACCCTGGACTCCGCCCATACACGTTGTGGAGAATCTTTCATGAAAAGGTATGTTTGTTGTACTTTGAGGTTAGGAGTAGGTTGGATTCTATTTCTGTGCAGAACCCCGACAAGTCGCTATTCACCTACTGGAATTACCACCAGAAATTCGGCGACTATTTTTCCAGGGCAGTAAGCCTCTACCTTGCGAAACATAAGAAACATCCAGCGAGAATCGAGGTGACGGCACCAGCTCCAGGCCACACCCAGAACAAGCGTCACCCAAGTCCTCGAACGCCCTCTGTTGGCCCCGACTCGAAAGTTGACGAGGACCACCCCACCAATCGAATGCTTCCTTCCAGGGGCCCTGTGGCCCGTAGCATGCGCAACATAGATAAAATACCTTTCGCACCCCATGAACGACGGCAAATGCAAGCATTCTATGCAAAGATGCGAACGAAGTGTCGGTCTGAGCTCCAGGTGTGGAATCTGTTCTCGCAACTGGTGAATAAATTGGATTCATACTTAGGTGTCCAAGAAGTGTTGCAGTCACTCACCAACATGAACTCTTTTATAGCATCCCTCTAGGAGTCCAGTATCTTATGCCTCACATGCCCGTAGACATCCTGAAATTAAGACTCTCGGTCCCACGAATCATGAAGGAAGTGTAGGTGACGATGAGGAAGACCGAGAAACTCCAGAAAGGACCCAATGCGGAAGGAAATCCCCATCCCACGAGGGTGGCATGCCAGATGATTGTGTACAAAAGAACCAACTTTCGACAAGCAATAATAGGTCAGACACGGAGGGTCCCTCCCAGTCACAACTGACTTTCTCGCAAGCTGAATGGACTGCGGCGATACAATGGGTCATGACTAGGGGGGGTCCGTTAAGCGTGCATGCGAATGTTGAGAGTTGGCAAGCGTTCAGTGTGAAGGTATGCATCGAGTTTAGCTGCTGTTGATAAACTGCAAATGAACACGGCTCTAACATAACCCGACCACAGAATCCGTCACATAATGAGCTCGAGTGGATCGGGCTCTACTATGCGTACTACGACTTCTTCCAGGGTATCGAACGCCAATTCACTCAGCATGACATGAAGTACTTGTGTTGATGAGCGCAGATCACACCCAAGCGGGTGTTCGGAAAGGATCGGTCCCATCTAGATCTCCCCCCTCACACTCAACCAATGATCTGATCTTGTATGCTAAATGATACATGTAAGAATATCATCGAGATTCCTGACTGATGCTACTAATGCTGGAACGCAATTGGACATTGACCCTTCTGGTTTATTTTGACTGCTGTTTAGATAATGCCCATTAGGCACACCTAGTGCTGTAAGGTGTATGCCGGAGCAAGTCTCGAGCTTGTGGAATCATTCTGTTGTGCGAATAATGATCGCTACACCATGCATGAGGTAGGCAGGTGTTGTTGTTGGTGAATAGCCTGACTCTGAGTACGACAGCAATAAGATGCGCGTCGTACTCCTCTATCCGTAAGAAGAAAGAAAGGGCGCTTTGCGCCTAGGCAGGATCCCAGCTTCTACTAAAGTTCGCGTGAGTGCAGCTGCTGAGGTAGCGGATTGCCTTATATGTGTGAGGGACCTTAACGTCGGCAGAGGCTGGTGATTGAGTTCAGGTGGTTAAGGGACTCACGAAATCCGAAAGTTGCTGAACCAAAGTCGAACTCGATATTACACTAGGGAGTGTAAAATACAAGATCTCTGCTTTCTCTATCTACTAAGGTTCCAGCTTATATACGGTTCTCTACGCTTATGTAAGCTTATCGCTTACAGTCGCCCTCCTGCGATGTTGGCGACTCGCATCTACGAATTAGGGATTAGTCGTTAGAAGCCGTATATAATACTAAAGATAAAGGGAACAATAAAATAAATTCAGAACCTGCACTTATGACAAAGTCTTAGTCGTTCTTTGGAGCTGAAGAGCTTGCCTCAGCTGCTCCTTCAGTGGTGTCGACCGAGTGTTCCGTCTGTAGCACTGCCATTGAGAGGTCATTCATATGGCTGATAGTGCTTGAAAGTGAAGGGGATGTTAGAAGTTGCAGCCCAACGCCACTGGCAGTCAAGGGAGTCACCCAGGCCGGACATTCACGCTTTGGAAAGGGGAGGGGCGCTTTGAGGCACAAATGGTGGCAACCTCTTTGACTCTTTGTCTTTGCGCTTTTGTTTTCAACTTGTTGTTTACCACTCATGTTTCACCTCAGTGGCGTAGAGTCATTACAAGATGTATATAAGGACCGGACTTGCGCTAGCAGCTGATACCTCACTAATTGAGGTATCGCGCTGCGCAGTTATCACAGGGGATGCCAGCGTTACAAAGTTTGGGGGGGGGGGGGCAACTGATGGCACATATTCCGCATTCACAAAGAGATTGTTGGGGTTGATTGGCACGTTGTCTGTGTTCGCGAATGGGTAGGGAGTCAGGGTTGGAGTTGGGGTTCCACCACTAGGTCCCGCATTGTCAATGTGTCGTTTGGTAGGCCTCCTCCCAACATTACGGTATTTGTTTCGTCTGCACACACCGCATCTCATCAGGAAACTCCCGAGGCCGATTGAGGTGATTGAGAGTAATTCAATCGCTCAATCTGCCCAATCTGCCAATCGACTACTCTCAATCATCCCAATCATCCCAATCATGAGTCCACTGTTTGCATCCAGGTGCTGTACAGTTTTCAAATGAATTGGTTTGCAACTTAAAACTTTTTTTTTCACTCCACCTCGCACTATCTACACTGATGTCTCTTTACTGTGCAACACGATATTTTTTTGCTCCACTCTCCAGATGTTGTGTTCATGGGCCAACACCCCTTCACAGTCACTCAACCCTTCCCGAAGTCATTTCCATCCTCCTACCCCAACTTCTCACACATGACACTCCCCCCAACTTCTTCCTGCATTTACTCGACAACCACCCATCTGTTTTCGACAACTTTGAGCTCGTTCGATAGAGAAAATCCAGCTCTATCCCTTTGCCAAGTTTGGTGCCAAATGTTGAGGTGCATGTCTGCATTCTTTAATTATATTGTATTTCACTAACCCCAAGTTTTTACCACATGTACTTGACAACCACCCATCCGTTTCTGACGACTTTGAGCTCTTTCGATAGAGAATGTTCAACTCTATCATTGTGCCGAGCTTGGTGCCGAATGGTCCAGCCATCAGCAAAAAATTGTTATGCTCCTGAGTGCTCCGGAGTATCGAGAGCACTGGGAGAATCAGGAGGAGATTGGCCGGTCCAGGAACAGCCCATTTCCTCCGGAGTTGGCTAGGTACTCCAGGGCACTCCCAGGAGGGCCTGGAGCATTGCTTTGTGCACAAACATATCCAGTAAATACAATTTAAATGCTTCAAAGTGTATAGGGGTGAGAAGCTTCTGGGAGCTCCTGGAGCATTTGAAAATGAAAAGGAAAAAAAGAGGGAAGATCCCCCATGAATACCTCCTACCACAAGACTAACACAACAAGACACTGCTTAACATTTAGATCAAACACTATACTATATATCAAGGACACTGAGACTCACCAATACACAATCAAAATTTATGGCCTGATATATGATTAATCTGGCAACTTAATCACTTTCGGGCTGGCAGAATATGGGGGAGGGGGAAATGAGGGGGAAATGAGGGGGAGAATGAGGGGGGGAATGAGGGGGGGAATGAGGGGGGGAATGAGGGGGGGAATGAGGGGGGGAATGAGGGGGGGAATGAGGGGGGAATGAGGGGGGAATGAGGGGGGGATATAGAGGGAAATGAGGAAAATTTGAAAAATAGGGACTTCTAAAAAGTTGAAAAAAATAATTAGGGAAAAAATCAAAAAAAATTCAGGAACTGTAGTGCCTTTGAAGTGCTTTCAGGATATATAATTATTTGCAAAATTGAGGAAGAAATGATGGAGAAAAATGGAAAATACTTTCGGAGACCCGCGAAAGAATGAGAACTGAATTGATGGGAAAGTCTGAAAATTGAATAGGGAAGTGAGGGGAAGCCTTGTAGCATTGTTATTTTCTGCTGTTCTAATTTTTCCTGATTGTTCTTGGTCTCACTCCCAGCTGCTACTGGATACTCCTGGATACTCCTGGAAGCTCCTGGGAGGGTCCAGGAGCAGCTAATGGAAAATACTTTTGGAGACCCAAGAACTGATTTGATGGGAAAGTCTGAAAATTGAATAGGAAAGTGAGGGGAAGCCTTGTAGCATTGTTATTTTCTGCTGTTCTGATTTTTCCCAATTCTTCTTGGTCTCATTCCCAGCTGCTCCTCAATACTCCTGGAAGCTCCTGAAAGCTCCTGGGAGGGTCTAGGAGCAGCTGGGAGTGAGACCAAGAAGAATCAGGAAAAATCAGAACAGCAGAAAATAACAATGCTTACAAGGCTTCCCCTCACTTTCCTATTCAATTTTCAGACTTTCCCATCAATTCAGTTCTCATTATTTCTCGGGTCTCCGAAAGTATTTTCCATTTTTCTCCATCATTTCTTCCTCAATTTTGCAAATAATTATATGTCCTGAAAGCACTTTAAAGGCACTATAGTTCCTGATTTTTTTTTTTTGAATTTTCCCTAAATTTTTTTTTTCAACTTTTTAGAGACCAAAATTTTCCTCCCACTGTTCCTGGCACATTACATACTCCTCACCACTCCCAGCTGCTCCTGAACCCCCTCCCAGGAGAACACTATTGGCTCCAGGAGTGCCCAATCTGCTGTTTTGTCTCCCACATGCTCCAGCCACTCTTGATGCTCCGGAGCATAACGGACTTTTGCTGATGGCGGTTGAGGTGTGCGTCTGCTTTCTTTAATTATGTTGTATTTCACTAACCCCAACTTCTTACTGCATGTAACTCAACAACGATACATCCGTTTCCGACGATTCTAGGCTCGTTCGCTAGAGGAGATCCAGCTCCATCTCCTCACTGAGTTTGGTGCCAAACGATCCAGCGGTTAAGGTGCGCGTTTGCTTTCTTTAATTATATCATATTTCACTAACCCCAA